CGCCGAGCACGCGGGCTGGGCCCAGTGGCTGAGCCGGACCCGTGAGGGCGCCCCGGGTGGTCTGGCGCGGCCGGTACCCGAAGCGCTTTCTGGGTCCCTGTGGGCGTGATAGATAGTGAGCTTCCCGTCCATGGAGGTGTGCAAGTGGAGTCTGCGCCGGGATCGCTCGGGCTGGTGAGGCGGGACTCCGCGCTGGGCTCACGCCCCTTTCCAGCGTGGAGACCTGCTCCTCGCGCCTCAGCTGCGGATGCTGGGGGACGGGGGGCGGCGGCAGGGGACGGTTGGGGAGGTAGGAGAGGGAGTGGTTACAGGGCCCCCTATTCATCGTAGGGACAAAGCCGAGCGGATCCCAGGCGATGTCAGCCTGCAGGTGTGTGGCCGCAGTGAGCGCGCCTCCAGGTGTGCAGCGGGATGGAGGATAAAAGAAGAGATGGGAAGAGCAGCTGTGCTGGAGGAATGGGGTCTGAGCCTAGAGGAGATGCCCCGGCACCTGTGGGAGGCAGGTGTGGGAGGCTTGGAGCTAGGAGCGCATGAGTATGAGACAGCATGAGCGCGGCGTGTATGTGTGTGCCACCGTGAGGAGAGCTTAGAAAGAAGGGGGACCAAGAGCGAGTAGTTGCCACCCTCAGAGAGCAAAGGGGTGGAGAGAGAAAGGGAAGGGAGGAAATGTGTGCTCAGGAGAAAAGAAAGTCCGTGTAAGAGAGAGCGGCAGAGGCAGGAGAGGAGGGACTGTCACCGTGTGTGTGACAGCCTGTGTGTGTCCCAAAGGCTGCACTCTCCCTTAAGCCAGGCTTTGAGGCACCAGTCACAGGGCCAGAACCCACTCAGAACAGAGCTGAGGTATCCAGCCAGCTCAGGCAGGGATGGGAGCATGAACGGTGTGTCCGCCCAGCATGAGTCCTGGTACTGGTCTGAGGAGGAGGGAGGCCTGGTCAGGCTAGGACCCTCTGTCCAGCCATGCCAGCTCTGCCCTGGCCAGCCTTGTCTGGTGCTGACTATGGAAGCAGAAGGAGACTGGATGGGTGGGGTAGAGTGAATGGGAAACACCACAGTCTGGAGGCCCTGCCTCTTCCCCAGCCCCTCTTTGTCTCCTAGAACTTGGGGCAGAGGCAGGAATCACCACTGGTTGGGGAATGAGAGAGATCTGGGTTTGAATCAAGTGACCCTGTGTGAGTACTCTTGTGCCTCAGAACCTCACCTACCCCATCTGAAATGGGTAGGGAGGGTAACAGTTGTTCACTGCTGGGCATTGAGGACTAAAGGAGGTGATGCCAGGCACACTGGAGACACTCTGTGACCTGTAGCTGCCACTTTGACGCTTGTGCAGGCTCAGTGCAGGGGCTGGGGACTAGCCTGGGGTGGGGTCTGAGCTGGGCTGTTGTCTGTCACTCTGCAGACACTCAGGGAGCATTTGGGGTTGCCTTCGATGTGTTTATCCCTAGGCTGCCGTCAGCAAGGCCAAGAGAGCTCTGTAAATATTTATCCATCCCAGTTCACAGCTTTCAGGGTTGATGAAAGCCCCACAGTCTAGCGGAACCAAGCTGCTTTCCCTCCTGGAGCCAACAGAGAAGGGGTGGGAAGGCGAAGATTAGGCAGAAGCATGGGGGAGAAGATAAACCTGCCTGCCAACTGGCGGTGTGACTTGGGCAGGTTGCTAGACCTCTCTGAGCCTCAGATGGGCATGATGATGTATAGAACAGTGTAGTGACGCTCCCCTGTCTTCCTATCAGGGTCACCTCTCACTCACAGCAGAAGGCATAGCTGTGATTAATTATCCCCATTGGACCAATAGCAAACTAAGGCCTAGAGAGGGATACAACTAGCCTAGCCTCAGCCAGTGGTTTCCTAGTCTGGGGCCGTCCCTTATCACCCCTCTACCAGGTGTCTCCCATTTTCTGGATTGGAAGTTTTTGTTTGTTTGTTTGGCAGCTGGCCAGTACGGGGATCCAAACCCTTGTCCTTGGGGTTATCAGCACTACCAAGTGAGCTAACTTGCCATCCCTGGATTGGAAGTTGACCCAGGGGCTGACCTCAAGTCTCTTACCTCTTCCAGGAGAGTAGATCAGCCGAGAAACTCCTTGAGTGTGTCTGAGGCTGTGGTTTGGTGCCTGCCAGACCAGAGGAGGGTGGGGCTGAGTGAGTTAGACACCTACCACAGGGCAGGCCAAGGGAGTATACTGGCCAAGGAGGAGGGAATGCATTTTAGAAGCAGAAACACTTCTCAGGAATGTGGGTTTTGGAGAGAAGCCAAGAGCTGGGGAGGGGTGGGGGGGTAGAGTGCAGGCATGAGCTGGAGTCATGAGCTCCGGGTCTAGGCCCAGCTCTTGCCTGACTTGCTGTGTGACTCTGGGCAAAGTCCTTGACCTCTCTGGGCTCTTTTTCATCCCCTGGGAAATGGTGTGATGGCTGGCTGCTCCCCAAACTCACCAGGGCTGAAGATGAAGTGAGGGGTGGTCTGTGCCCACCACCCTACCTCTCTGAATCCAGTCTGCCTGGGAGGACCAAGCACACCCATTTTAGCAATGAGCAAGCTGCTTCATGCCAGGCCTTGCAGATAGGGCATCTGGCCCCAGGCCAGAAAGGACTCCCAAAGAGGAAGGGTGGGAGGTCAGCGAGGCAGAGAAAATGTGTCCCATCACAGTAATGGGGAAACTGAGGCCAAGAGCTTTTAAACGATGGGCTCCAAAAAAAAAAAAAAAGAAAAATTCCCCCTGGCTGGAGGCATCTATTCTAGTACCTCCTGCTCACTCACTCACTCTCCAACATCAATGAATGTGAATGTGACATGGACAAGAAGCAAGACTTTCCAGGAGACTCTGCAGAACGTACTTTTCTTCTTTGGACCTGAAAGCTCTCTTCTAGCTGAGACTTTGTTTTACCATTTAAAGTCCGCAGATTTGGGGGGAGAACTGGAAGTGACAAGAGTGGTGGGAAGCCACAGAGAATTTGGCAAGAGCAGATTCCCAAGTGCGGGAGGGGAGGGACTACTGGGGCAAGGAGAGGGGCCAGGTAGGAGGCACTGCTCTGTGCCAGAAGCTGCGGCGGGCATTACAGAAGGATGTCGTTTAGCCCTTTGCTGTGGCAACATCCCCATTTGACAGATGGGGAAGATGAGGCTAAGAGAAGACAGTGACTTGTCCAGGGTCACTGGCATAGAACTTGGTCTTCTGAACCTCAGAGCTTGGCTCTTGCTGCGCTGAGAGTGCCATGATCCAGGGGTCTGGATGTCAATTTGGTGCCCCATGGGGGAAGGAAAGAAAGGACAGCGGCGGGCATAGGGTGTGTTCACCCATGATCCACCCTCCATGGCTGGCTGCACCTGGTGTCACTGGGGGGGGGCAGAGAAGAGGGGAGATTTCTGGCCACAGGCATAACCACGGCTGGCAGGCTGGGCTCTGGGCTGTTTGGGGCTCCTAGGGGAAGACATAGCTTTGCTCTTCCCAGGGAGGGTCCTCATATCCCTGCCAGGGTTGGGGGAAGGAATCTTTTTCCTGTGGGTCAAGAGGGTAGTGTGACAAGGAGGAGGGGGCAGACCTTTGTGACTCGTCACACAGACGTGAGATCCACATCTTCAAGGTCCATGAGCCTGCTGGCAAAGTGCCTAGGAAGTAGCAGGTGCTTAAGTATCTCCCATTCCTTCTTGCTGTCACCAAGGTGAGGCCAGTGTGGGTCCCTCCTCCAGGGGAGAGATGACTCAACCCGTAAAGAGCAGGTCAGAGGTAGCAGGGAGGGGTGGGCTATGAGCACAGACAGGGTGCTATCTGCCACCTGTTAACCTGAGCAAAGTGCTTAACTTCTCTGGGCTCCATTTCCTCATCTGAGAAATGGGGATGGTGACAGTGGAGTTGGTGAGAGCTTCCATCAGGGGCTAAGAGCATGTCTATGGAGCTGTTGTCACCGGCCACAGTGATAAGTACTTATTAACAGTAAGCCCAGAATCAGCTGGAACCCAAAACCCGTGAGGCTGTGCTCTGCCAGGTCTGAAACTGGGGGAAGACTGGTTCAGGGCCTCACACCCCAAGTAGCTCCATAGCCCTCATGTTCAGAAGGCCCCTTCAAGGTGGGGTGTTCTTGGGAGTTCAAGTCCTCACCTCTGGGATCAGAGGCTTGGAGGGCTGGGCTGCTGATCAGAGCCCTGGGGCGCCTGGAGCCTGGGAGAGCTGCCAGAGGCTGAGGGCGAGGGCGGGGCCTGAGCAGTCCTGCTTCTGCCCCAAATATTGCTGTGGGGAGGCTGTAGCCACCCACACCAGACAGGCCCAGGCCAGACAGGTACCAAGTCGCTCTGCAAACAGCAAGGCCCCATCCCTCTCCTCCAGCACAGGAAGGACACTTGGCTTTTGGGCAGTGTCCCAAGCCAGGCCTTAGCCTTCAGGCTGGGACACAGGGTCCTCATCTGGCCCCACCATGCTCTTGCTGCATGACCTCAGAGGGTCTCCTAACCTCTCTGAGCTTCTACTTTTCTCATGCATGAAAACTGTGACTTCTGCCCTGGGGACTTGCAGAGGGTGGTAGGATCAACTCAGGTCAGAAATGCCAACTGCAATCCTGGGGCATAGGCATCTGGTAACTGGTTGCCCCCATCCTCCCCTCATGAAGGGGGCAGGCAGATCACAGACCTAGTTCCCACTGTGCACCTGGCCTTGGCAGGGTGGGACCAAAACTGCCTGTTAGAAGTCGGACCTGTTACCCGGTGCCCTTCTGAGGTGTCGGGCCTGTGCTAAGTGCTCTACACAGGTGCCCTTGTCTCATCCTCAGATCAACACCGTGGGGAGGTACTGTCATCCCCATTTGTCAAGGCCACACTGCAGTGCTGCAGCCCCTCCACACTGGGGGGTGTCCTGGGCAGGACAGAGCCTGCTCACATACCAGGGAGTGCAGAGTGGGAGTAACCCAGGTGTGAGCTCAGTGGACATGGGAAGGGAAATGGAAACAGGTTTGCTAGGGGTAGGGCAGTGTGGGGAGCAGGAGGAGCTTGGCTGATGTTTCCTTGAAGGCTTTTTGGGGTCCAGTCCTGGGTATGTGTGAGAGTACAGTCAGGGGCTCATGGCCTCGTAGTCCCAGTGCACCCCCATCCAGACCTCACTGTCCTGAGTGCCTAGAGTAGGTGGCAGGCAGCCCAGGGCCCTCCAGGAGGGGGTGGGAGGCAGCAGGACACTTTGGAACAAAGTGTCAGGAAACCAGTCAGCCCAGTGCCAGAGGGCTCTGCTGTGTGCCCCTTCCCTCCCCACTAGTTTGCCCAGAGACACAGTGGGCTGGGGTTGCCCATGGGTGTGCTGACAGGCCACACCTCTAGCCATGGGCCATGAGGGACCAAGGCCTGACTAGGCCCTCCCGTCCTCTCTCCTGCCCAGGATGTCCACCACCACCAGCCTCTGAGGAGGGGGGCACAGCCCTGGCATGCAGCTCTGCCCAGCAGCCTGGCACCTGCCCCTGCCGCCCAGGAGGCCTCCCGGCCTGCCACTGCCCCCAGACCTCCCCGCTGTGGCGTGCCCGACCCACCTGATGGGATGAATGCCCATAACCGTCAGAAGCGGTTCGTGCTTTCGGGTGGGCGCTGGGAGAAGACGGACCTCACCTACAGGTAGGGTTGGGGTCATGGGGCAAGACTCCAGAGTTCAACCTGTGTGGCCATTTGTGAGCCTGCCACCCTTATATCTGCTTCCTGAGACACATGCCGGGGCCATATCTTGGAGGCAAATAGAGCTGTGTGCCTGCTGACCCCCAAGCCACTGACCAACACCCTGAACCCAACTTAGACACACACACAGATACCCTCCCAGAGCAGAGCGGCAGTGCCTCTGTCTTCACCTGAAGAGGCTCAGCACATGCCTTAGGACAATGTTCTGTCACCTAGACAGCCTTTACTGGGGATCTGGAAGGGCCCCACCCTGGACTCTCTGGTGAATGAGGCAGACACAGCTGGTCATCTCAGGGAGATAGGCGTTAGCCACATCATAGTTCAAATCTACCATCACAACTTGGGCTTCATGCAGGTGGAAACAGTGGTGAGCAGAGATGGATAACAGCAGACTCCTCACTGGGTGCCCTGGGCACCCCTGGGCAGCTGATGCAGAAGCTGAGGCTTACACATCCTGCGGGCAGGGATTCAGCCTGGGAGAGAACGGTCTCGTGTCAAAGGGCATTGGAGCTGAGATTACAGGGGACCTCAGGAATTTCCTGGGTGGGGAACTGGGAACCAAGAGGGGGCTCAAGAGGCCAAGGTCTCCCCACAGTAAGCAGCACTATCAGGTCTGGAACATGGGTCTCGGGACTCCTGATCCTGTGTTCTTTCCACACAATGCAGGCACTTGTATATGCCCAAGTATACACAAACCCACACAAAGATGTGTGCCCATGTGGCCAGGGAGACTGGTGGGCTGCACTTGAGGCTCAGAGCACACTTGGCCCATATCTTAAGTGCACATACCCACTGAGCATTGAGGGGCAATTCCTGGCCCTTCAGCCATCAGGAGCTGTCCTTGCCCTGAAGCCCAGACCCCTGCTCCTTCCCCCAGGATTCTCCGGTTCCCATGGCAGCTGGTTCGGGAGCAAGTACGGCAGACAGTGGCAGAGGCCTTACAGGTGTGGAGTGAAGTGACACCGCTCACCTTCACTGAGGTGCATGAGGGCCACGCTGACATCATGATCGACTTTACCAGGTGAACCAGCGGCCTGGGACCTCTCTGGGAACAAGCCCCACCTGTTAGCAGCCACTGACTCTGCCCCCACCTACCTGCAGATACTGGCATGGGGACAACCTGCCGTTTGATGGGCCTGGGGGCATCCTGGCCCATGCCTTCTTCCCCAAGACTCACCGAGAAGGGGACGTCCACTTCGACTATGATGAGACCTGGACTGTCGGGAACAACCAGGGTATGGGCTGGGGACCCATTTCCCAAATGGGGCAACTGAAGATCGTAGAGAATGGGGTTTGGCCAAGGTTCCTGAGCTGCAGTCTGGAGCTTGGGTGTCTTGCAGCAGGAGGTTTGGGAATTGCTGACCCACCTCCCCTTTCCAGGCACAGACCTGCTGCAGGTGGCAGCCCACGAATTTGGCCATGTGCTGGGGCTGCAGCACACGACAGCAGCCAAGGCCCTCATGTCCCCTTTTTACACCTTCCGATACCCACTGAGCCTTAGCCCAGATGACCGCAGGGGCATTCAGCACCTCTATGGCCGGCCCCAGCCGGCCCCCACCTCTGGGGCCTCAGCCCCGGGCCCCCAGGCTGGGGTGGACACCAACGAGATTGCACCACTAGAGGTGAGGCCCTGCTCCCAGCACTGCCCCCCAACCCCGCCCTGCTGGCCTCTGTGGCTCCAGCATGGACTCTTTTCCGGTCCTTTTCTCCCATCCCAGCCGGAAGCCCCACCAGATGCCTGTGAGGCCTCCTTCGATGCGGTTTCTACCATCCGAGGTGAACTCTTCTTCTTCAAGGCCGGCTTCGTGTGGCGGCTGCGAGGGGGCCAGCTGCAGCCCGGCTACCCTGCGCTGGCCTCTCGCCACTGGCAGGGACTGCCCAGCCCTGTGGATGCAGCCTTTGAGGATGCCCAGGGCCACATCTGGTTCTTCCAAGGTCAGTGGGTGTTGAGGGTCAACTGAAGAGACTTCTCAGAGCTAGGAGTGTCATGGCCAAGGGTAAATACAGACAGACAAATCCCCAGAGACACAATGGGCAGAGAGAGGGTGCCCCAAAGGCTTGGGGCCAGGGGACAGTGTGGTTCCCAGAGAAGGCGGCTCTTTGAGATTGGAGTAGCATAGGTGTCCCACAGCAGGTTCTGCGTTGGTACAGTCAACCCTCAAAGCCACCCCATGGGGCGGGGTTCCAGGTGAGGCCTCTGGGGCTCTGAGACAGCAAAGTGACTCACCTGAGGGTGCAGCTTGGAAAAGGCAGAGCAGGGAATTGATCCAGGTCTGGTGACCCTGGAGCCTGTGTTTTCAACTTTCAGCTGGCAAAGATGAGAGCCTGGAGCATTCCAGGTGACAGGGACTTCATAAACAAAGGTGCAGCACAGGAAACCTTTGTGTGGGTCCTGGGGCAGCCAGGGGCCTGCTGCAGCAGGGGCAGGGGCCCAGGGAGTAATCAGCAGGCATTTGTCACAGCCAGCCAAATGCCAGAAGGAACGGGAGCCCAGGCAGCCCTCTACTGATTAGCATAACCTCACCCACTCGGTACCTTACAGAGCCTTCTCCTCTCCAGCTTACCCCAGCGGGCTCCAACTTCCCTCTAGGGGTGGGGGTGCTGAGCAGGCGTGCATGTTTTATGGGCAAGGAAACAGGCTGGGAGAGTCCATGGTGGTGGCTGAGCAGGCCCACAGTGGCTGGGCACAGTAGTGGTGGCTCAGCAGCTCTTTGCAGCCTCCCCTCTCCGGCAGGCGCTCAATACTGGATGTACGACGGTGGGAAGCCAGTCCTGGGCCCTGCACCCCTCTCTGAGCTGGGCCTGGTGGGGTCCCCAATCCATGCTGCCTTGGTCTGGGGTCCCGAGAAGAACAAGATCTACTTCTTTCGAGGCGGGGACTACTGGCGTTTCCACCCCAGCACCCAGCGTGTGGACAGTCCCGTGCCCCGCCGGGCCACTGATTGGCGAGGTGTGCCCTCTGAGATTGACGCGGCCTTCCAGGATGCTGATGGTATGTGGTGGGCGGGGTGGCTGGTGGGAGGTGGGTGCAGCAGCAGCATCTTCCATCCGGTGATGGCTGGGCCTCCTCATGCCCACTTCTGGAGGCCCAGCTCTTCAACACAGGCCCTTTGTCAGCACCACTTGCCCTCTACCTGGTGGCTGGGTAGTGCTGTACCCTGTGTTGCAGATGAGGAGACTGAGGCAGAGGTCCCTCAGTCACAGCCAATGAAATAACTACTGTATACTGAGGGCCAATGATGCTCCAGGCATAGCTCCAAGTTCTTTACATGTCTTATGCGATTCTCAGAACATCCCTCTGACATAACACCTGTTATAAACCTAGTTTCCAGCAGGGCAAACAGAGGATCAGGCAATGAGGTCCCTAACTGGGGCCACCTAGGTGGACAGTGGCAGAGCCAAGCCTCCCACCCAGGCAGTCCCTTCTCCTAACCACAGAACCACCCAGCCTCCTGCAAGTGCAAAGGACTAGAGCCAGGTCGGGGATCCCAGTCCAGTGCTCACTCCCCTGACAGCACTCTTTGCTTCTGTGCTCTCTCACATTGGGACCTGATGAGGGAACTGTCCTGGGGTGGTTTCTGAGACTCCAGGATGCCCCTTTGTAGTCTGGCTGGTGGGTGCAGGAGTAGGGACTTGCTTTTCTGAGAGGTAAGAGTTGAGCTTCTGAAGCTTCAGGTATCTGTCAGGCTGGATGTTACAGGGACCAGACCCTGGGGCAGGCAGAAGGCTTCCCTGGAGGGAAGAGAGGTTCTGGAAGGCCCGCCCTGGAGCTGCAGTTTTCAAGAAATTCAGAGGTGGCCAAGACCCGCCCTCTGTGCCCTCTCCCTGTGCCTGTCCCTGGGCACAGTCTGACGGGCTGGTGCGGGGCCCAATGCCCACTTGCCCAGGCCTGACCCTCTCTCCTCAGGCTATGCCTACTTCCTGCGGGGCCGCCTCTACTGGAAGTTTGACCCTGTGAAGGTGAAGGCCCTGGAGGGCTTCCCCCGTCTCGTGGGCCCCGACTTCTTTGGCTGTGCCGAGCCTGCCAACACTTTCCGCTGAGAATGGCTTGGATACCCTCAGGGGGCGCTGACCCCTGCCAGACCACTGATATCAGGCTAGAGACCCACAGCCACCTTTGTGGCCCTGGGCACTAGGCACGGACAGAGCCCCTGTCTCCTCGGGGGTGGAGTATGGGTGCAACCACCATGACAACTGCAGGGAAGGCCATGCGGGTCGTGGTCACCTGCCAGCAACTGTCTCAGACTGGACAGGGATGCTTTGGCATTACTAAGAGTGAGGATAGTCTCAGACTGGCTTTACCCCACCTGTACAGGTCATGGTCAAGTCTGGCTGCCCTCGGTCTACATCCCTGTCTCTCAGGGTAGGACCTCGGCAGGGCTGGGGAGGGGGTGCTTCCTGCTAGAGACCCCAGGCCCTGGAGGCCTCAACATACCTCAATCCTGTCCTGGGCCGGATCCTCCTGAAGCCCTCATGCCAGCACTGGTATTCTCCAAAGCCATGTAAATGTGTGTACAGTGTGTATAAACCTTTTTTTTTTTTTTTTTTTACTGAGGACTGTCATTAAACAGTTGTTTTCTACCTGCCTGCCTGGTCTCTCTTTGTGACTGTGCAGCCAGGATGGGGAGGCCTGGCTAGGGTCTGGCCGTGTCCTGGGAGCCAGGGTCACCCCACCAAGCCTCTGGTCCTGGGAGCTGGGCACTGTGCTCTTTCTGCTCCATTCTGCCACACCTCACTGGACACCTGCAGTGGCTTCCTAACTGGTTCCTTGCTGCTCCACTTGCCCCTTGAGCCTATCCTCCAGAGTGGTGGTCATTTGGTCTGATGATGCCACGCCCCAGCCCCTATCCTAGAATACTTTGGTTTCCCACTGCTGTGAGGACTCAGAACAAAACTCATACTTACCATGGCCCTTCCTACCTCTCTGGCCTATCCTTGCCCTGTCTTCCAGCCCCAAATGTCTTCTTCATACTAGCACCTATCACAGCTGCAATCTTATTAGACTGAATCGTATGAAATTGTCAGTAGTGGGCCATTTTTTACTTATTGCTTTGTTCAACCAGATACATGACTGCTTTCATTAGTGTCGGTTCCTGCTCTGGGCTGGGAGCGCCACAGGCTGTCTGGTTTTGCTCACCATCACAGGGCTGGGCTTGTCGTAGGCAAAGAACTCAGAGTTAAGTAAGGAATGGAGGTGTCCCTCCCCTCCAACGCTCATGTGATGCACCAGCCAAACCAAATACCACCTGGGCCTTTGAATGCTGCCAAGCCCCAGAGCCTCTGCTCATGCCAAGCCCCACACAGTGTTGTCATTCTGCCCATCCCCTTATCTGCAGGAACAGCTGTGGGCTCCGAACTGGGATATCTGTTCCTAGGAGCCCTCCTATCTGCTCAGCTGCACTGTTTTCAGGTTGNCTCATGTGATGCACCAGCCAAACCAAATACCACCTGGGCCTTTGAATGCTGCCAAGCCCCACACAGTGTTGTCATTCTGCCCATCCCCATATCTGCAGGAACAGCTGTGGGCTCGGAACTGGGATATCTGTTCCTAGGAGCCCTCCTATCTGCTCAGCTGCACTGTTTTCAGGTTGGGGAAACTGATGCGCCAGCCTGGGGTCACAAAGCATGGCCAGACTACTCAGGCTTCCTGATGTAGCTCTGTCCTCTTCCCCGCCTTCAGGCCTCACTTCCTTTCTCCTCCCCTGGACTGAGTTCCACTCCTAGCTGTGAGACTGGGAAAGCCACTGCTGGAGTCAGGGCCTCAGCAGTTATTGTCCGCGAGCAACTTTTCCACAGTACCATGTCTTGGGAGGAAAGGAAACTAGTCGTGGCTCCTTTAAGGGGTCCGCGGAGGCGCGCCCGGTCTTTTGTTTAGACGGCGGCGACGCGCGCGTCAGCGTCCACCCCCCGCGCATGCGCACTAAGGGCGGCCTGGTCGTCGTCCGCGGCGGTGGCTGAGGAGCCTGGCGGTAGTGTGAGCACCCG